TATCTTACAGAATGGTTGACTTTATTAGCCTGTATCTAACGTGTTATTGTATTTGCGAGTAGGCAGCGACAGAGAAGCAGGTGAAGGCGGATCAGTGCCCCCTACACTGCGTTATGAGAGTCCTCACATGACTCCACGAGCGGAAAGATCACTTGCTGACTCGTCGGGCTCGGAATACTCTCCATCACCGCGCCGCAACTTGAGAGATGCTTTTGCTGGTGAAGCGGAGAGAGGAGATTCGGAAGACTACGCACTTGGTACAAAAGAGAAGGAGAGTGATTGTGAAGAGCTGCATACAAGAGCTGAAGCTGCTCCAGGCCGGTCTTCGGGAATAGCTACTGTATTATCAGGTGGGCCACTTTGTATGTACAGGATAATGATACATGATATTGATTGTAGCTTGTATCTTGTATCTATATATTTCAGATGTGAACATTCTACAAACAGAAGACAATTTAGATGAGTTTACTGCATTAGAGTTTGACGCTGAGAACGACGACGGCGCGTCTGATGGTGAAAGTTCGGAGGCAGAAGCCAATGTGTACGAAGACATTGTTCTTGAAGAGAGTGACAGTGACGAGGAAGCGGACGATGTCTTATTCGACGAGATGTTGCTAGAATTTGCTGGTGTTATTGCCGGTATTGCGGGAGGTAATATAAACGCTGATATCCTGAAGGATATGGGCACGAGTGGCTGGACGGAACCTGTGTCATACAGTCCGCACCCATACTTGGACGAACCATATGAAGCTCGAGATAGTGGCGCTATGGCAAATGAATCCCCGGGGCTTCACAATGGAGGCTATGGACCAACAAATCGAGCGCTTGAAGCGGCTTCTACGGCGATGGACATCTTCTTTTATTTCGTTCAGCCACAGTTGTGGGAGGATATTGCTGCTGCGTCAAACGAATATTTTGTGGAGCAACTGGATGAGAGAGTTGAGGGGCAATACAAGAAGCAAGAGGCGCGTGAAAGTAAGCAGCCTGACTATAAGAAAAGTAGTCGAGAGGAAATCAAGGCCAGTCTTCTAAATACACCAGATATTACAGCTCGAGAGTTGTGCGCTTTTATCGGTCTATTGGTTGCCAGAACGATATCGCCGAACAAGGAGAAGCTGCAAGATCACTGGAAGTCTACTGATGAAGGAGCTATACCACGTGGTCGCTTCGCGATTTACATGACAAGAGATCGATTCATGCACTTCTCCAGAAACCTACATTTTAGTAGCAATTCTGACCCTCGCGCTACGAGTGACCGCGCATGGAAACTTCGGCTTGTGATCGATTCTCTTCAAGAACGCTTCAAACTTGGTTACAATCCACCGCCAGTAATGGTATTTGACGAGGCGATGCTTCCGGCAAGGTCGTCATTCAACCGCATGCGAGTTTACATAAAGGACAAGCCCCACAAGTGGGGCACCAAGCTATTTATGCTGTGCTGCTCTTCGACGGCGTACTGTATTCGGTGAGTATCGGCATGCCGGCAGGCACGCCCGTATTTTGTTTTTGGTTCTAAAGTTATCTTATTCTGTATCTACAGGCTACTAACCGCGGCGTCTTGTATCCTACAGGTTTGAAGTGTATTGCGGTAGGAAGCAGACTGGGGTAAATGTTGCTTCAACGGACACGAAGTCCGGACCGGCTGCGGTTATTCGCAATCTAATCGAGGTGTTTGGAAGCGATGGGTCGGTCGAAAAGCGTTTAATCGTGACCGATCGCTTTTATACGTCACCCTCACTTGCAATGCAGCTTCTGGCCCTAGGCTTCTACAGCATTGGGACCATCATGACGAACCGCAACGGCTTCTGCAAAGCGATTGTGGAAAAGAAAAGGAAGCGGCCGGCGACTGTGCCCCGGGGATTATACACTGTGACTGAATCAACGGTCGTGCCATGTATGAAGGCTGTCTGCTGGTGGGATAACCGTCCCGTGCATCTGCTAATTGCTGGAGGTAGCATTCAACAAGACCGCGTGGTAAGGAGAGAGAAATAGGGTGAGCAAGCCGAAGTAGCGTGCCCAAGAATCCTGAAGGATTACTAGACGTTCATGGGCGGAGTTGATGTCCATGATCAACTCCGTCTTCAAAGGCAAGTTGCTGTGTTTGTATGTACCGGATATCCAGTATGTTACATACTACATCGATATTCTCTTCAGCTTTCACTGAAATACAAGAAGTACCACAAGAGTCTTTTTCTTGGGTTCATCGATCTGGCAATCGTGAACTCCTTGATAGTCTATAACCAGCGTCGAGTAGCAGAAGGCAAAAGAAAAGTATCTCATATCAAGCTTCTTAAACAGCTACACTTGGAGTTAGTGCAGCTAAATGAAGAGGATTGGGATGGAATCTGCTGCACACAGCAGACGCCAACCAAGCCGAGAAAGCGGGGGGTCCCTGCACAGCATCTACACGAGCTCCTTCAGGCTGATGAGTGGATGGATGGCAACAATGGCCAAGGGCGGAAGCGTCGTCAACGTACCTGTAAGGTGTGTTCTAAGATGAAGAGAGCAAATGGAGCTAAAGGCGGTGAGACGTCCTACTATTGTAAGTCCTGCCGACTCCCTACATCCTCAAAGACGGCTGTAGCGTCGCGTGTATATCTCTGCAACAAGATCAAGCACAAAGTTGACGGTAAGGAGCTTTCATGCTTCGATATATGGCACACAAAGTGAAGGAATAAAGGCAACCTATCTCCGTCGATAGCGAAGAAGAGAATATGGCCGCGCACACCTGGGGCCGCTTCCACTACTGAAGCGAGATCGGCAAGTGATGCCACGACTGCAGCTGACGAGTTGGACAAGCGCCAGCGGGTAGAAACGACTGTTTGAGCAGCAACAAGATTTAGTCTACATACCTTAGCTCAGTATAATGCATTCCGTTCGGTTTGGCAGCTGCTGTTGAAGTCTTTTTTGAAATAATCTGTCTCCGGCTGCGCCCAGCTTTCGCACTGACTTCGCATGTTTTTGAACGTCTAAGTACGCTTTACCACTGTCCTGTATGTCTGAGGAGATTGATCTTGTATTGTACAGGCTATCATTTCTTCACCATCTTAGGGGTTGAGAATTTGCGAGCCTTTCCAAATACAGGATACTAAAACATACTAGCTGCAGTATGGTAACCCCTCCCCTGAGATACAAGTTAACAGTACAAGGGTTTCGGTAAATGAGTGTGCTGGAAATTCTTCGGGCTCAAGGGTTTAAGCTGTCAATGTATCTCGCCACAGTGTTCGAAGCTGAGGCTCACGCTCAAAAGATTTGAATGTCGAATAGCAATCGGTGGATTCATTGCTATCCATCGTGATACAAACTTGTCGCTCGGATGGAAATCTGGTAGATCGTGAGTGCCTGTCTGAATGGCTGCTTCACGAAGCATGGATCGGGGCTCATCGAAGTCCGCGCACATTCTATGGCGAGCACGATAGTGCCTATCCCCAAGATACCATCCCAATTGACGGCAACGATTACCACTACGCGATGCTGTACCGTCTCAAGCCGCCCCAATGGGCTAATGATGCGCTGATTTTGGCTTTTTGCGCGAGATTGTACAGGACGGGCACCGGCGTTCGCATCGTCGGTGTCGAGGCAGCCTCGGCTTCAAAGAAGAAGAAATCTATGAGTGAAAAAATGAAGACAAAGGTTCAGGAACTACTCACTGAAGCGGATGTACTGCTCATTCCTGTAAATTTTGGGAACATGCATTGGTGTGCAATGATCGTGGATGGCAAGCAGAACAATGTCCTGTACTACGACTCAATGAACCTGAAGACGTACAAGGACGTACTGGACCGCATGTCGTGGGATCTGGCTACTACGCTCAGCGACGACTTCAAAGTTGTGTCCGTCAATGGACCGATCCAGACAGACGGATACAACTGCGGATTCTACGTAATGTTGAGGTTTTGGCGATATGTAGACAAGAGTGTGTCGCTGGACGTAACTCCGATTGGTCTAACGCTGTTACGCTTCCGCATCCTTCACTTCGTGCTTCACGGTAGCAAGCCATAATGCAACTAATACAATCTCATTTCTATTGAAACTGGAATCGACCCGCCTAATGTTCATGCGTATGGTTGACCTCCTGACTTCTGTATACCGGTATGTACGAGAGATGTCAGAGGACTTTCGTTTGCGAAGGTCTAACAACTTCCATTCACTATGGATTTTAAAAACAGTGGTAAGTAATTTATTTCGACACATGGACATTACATGGAGTATTACATGGAAAATAAACTGAGTGGACTGTAGCATCGGCCATGATTTTAACCAGTTCCTGGTCTCCACCCTATAAAATGTAGACGGGTTGAGACCCGGTGCGAGCGTTCAGAGGCACGAGACCATGAATCCGCTGTCGAAGAGGCCCACGCGACGCTCCGTGTGTCGTTGCAGCCGTCAGCAGCGGCATGCCGTCATTTACCGCGGTAATTGCTGCTAGCCAGGTCCTCGCAGATACCTTCTTTGGGCTCTTACCCTTCTTCTGTGACTTAACAGTCTTCTCCATCAAGGGGGCTCGTTGTGGACCAGTTTCTATGGCAGCTGACGCCAGATAGACGCGCGCAATAGCTCTTTCGAAAGAGGATTTCTCTACTCTCGGATATGGTACATAATACGACATTGGGCCATTAAAAGTACTCCTAGTGGGCATTCACTTTATGATCTATTTTTCCTTAGTAAAGAAAGCCAATGACCAGAAATATGTCCTGGCCCGAAATATGTCCACTACGGATACTCGAGCGCTCGAGCTGGGCGATACTACTTTTTCCACTGGGTGGACGAGTGAGGGAATGTTTTTAGTTAATCTTAGCTTTTATAACATGTAAACACATTTTTAAGCTCGGCCGTGCTTCAAAACGAGCACAAACAATACGTCTTTTATGAGAAATACTTCAGGTATTATTATGATACATGCACTTTTTTAATATCTGAAATCTTGGCGATAAAAATTGGTGGAATATATATTTAATTAAGTTGAGTGCCTACTCAGTAGGCACTCAACTTAATTAACCTTACTTATCCTCCACCTGGCACTTTTCGCGAACACTAGTTGCTAGACCCGATGCTTGAGCCTTAGCTTCACGGAGCACTTCGGTGACGTCTTCAGGTGCTTCCGAGTTGATATCGAGTGCATATCTTGCGATGGGAGGAGCATCTCCAGGACCGTGTAGTGCTGCCAGTAAACTCCAGACCATCGGGGTCACAAAGCGAAAATCCTTCGTGATCTCAAGACCTGAACGCACAAACGCGACTCGATTCGGATCTTCACCAACATCAAATCCAGGCTCCAGCAACTCGTGGTTTGTGATCGGACCTGGTTCCGGGCCTCCTTTACCGACATAGAGGGCCCAACGGTTCATCCAGTCGGAGTGAACCGCAAACCAGAACTCCTTAAACTTGAGTTCCTTGCGATCATGACTCATGATCAGCTTCAGTTCCAGGCGTCGGCGGAGCTCTAGATCTTCCCTGTAAGTGGGTAGAGACGCCTGAATCAGACTCATTCGCTGAATTGAGGTGGCTGACATCCTCCGAGCTTTCGGGGCTGAAGGTGACGAAGCTGCAGGTGTCGTCAAAGTAGTTGGAAGTGCCTGGACAGTAAGTTTGATTGGAGGAGGTAGACGGAAGCTTAGACGTCGAGGTTCGTCACTCATTCGTCCAAGACGTTCTCGAATCCCTGCCAAGGGTTCTTGCGATACATCTTCGCCATTGATCTCCACGATCTCAGCACCGGACGATACACTACCGCTACGTTCTAATACACCACGAGATCCATCGGGTAGCGGAACAAAGCCCAACACAACAGCGCGATTCGCAACAGTCCCATCGAGATTTAGACCGAGAGATCCTGGAGGAACTAACACACTCACGACGTTGTCGGTTGTACTTGGCGCATACGAGCGTCTGTCGGATTCCAGAGGACGATTATCCATCCCTGTGACTTGCACGAACGAAGCAGGTCGACTTATTTTCAACGGAGAAGGAGCCACTGGCTCAGTATTTGGCGTCGTCTCCTTTGAGGACGTTAGCGTGGCCTTTGAGGACGTTAGCGTGGTTGCGCTCCAGAGATTGTTAGACGGTTCACCTGCGTTTTCATTGAGGTTTGTTGCGCTACTTGTAGGACCGGTGATGAGTTTCACCTTGTCGTCATCCTGAGGGTTCTTTGCCTGCTTCTGGATGCTCGAAGGTGGAACTTTGAAGCGTAATTGACGCTTGAGATGAGCAGCTTCGCGCAAGATCGCACCGATCTCATCAAGTGTTTGCCGTGGGTTCATAAAGTCAAATTTGTCCATTCCGATGAGTACACTACCCTGAGGTGCGCTTCCATTTGCTTCAATTGCTCCAGGTGAACCTTCACGGGTTACTGGAGCGAAATCATCGAGTATAGCAGCCTCGGTACAGCTCCCGTCGAGTAGAATACCCAAAGGTCCAGCAGGGACATCGATTTCGACTATCGGCCATGTTGTTATGTCCATTCCAGCGACGATAACGCTTGAAGGTTTGACCACCCCGACAGATAGTGGCGAAACGTTTCCAGTTGGGGAACCTAGTGTATCGTACAGAGGATCACGCTTCTTTGCCTTCGTCTTTATCTTCATCGCTGATAGCCTCGCCAGCATGGTCACGGACAGAGCTCAGAAAGTTGGAAAATCGCACAATGATAATAATATCCCTCAGCTGCAACAGCAAGTCGAATCAATGGGTCAAAATGGTGAGCAGAGTGAATGTCATAAACCAATTCGTGGTCAACAAACCCCGCTCTTATCTTATGTTGTCTTCCTCAAAACCTATTTAAAGCGCTTCATCCAGTGTCCGATTCTTTATCTTTGCCTCGACTCTATTTTCATTTGACCATCACTCTTTATTCTTATCTGGTGCAAACTGTGACTTCAAGTCTGAAGTAGTTGTATGAATTCGACCTACCTCGCGCAAAGCGACCGCTTGATCCTATCTACTGAGAAGCAGTTTCCATAGGCGCCGGGGGCGGCACCGCGGAGTTGTTCACAACAGCAGGAGCGCTCTGCGTCCTCTGTTCCCCCTCATCTTCGCTGTCCTTGTTGCTGCGCGGGCTGCCGCCAAGCGTAAGCGCCTTCGTGAGCGAAATCGTGGCCTTGACCGTGCTAACCGCAGCACGGAATTTCCGACGCGCGTTGAACTTGCGCAGTTCCTCGAGCGCAGTGGTCAGTTGCACGTCCTTAACCGCGTCTCCAGCGATCCACGGATGTTCGAGCAGTTGACGTGCCGTCCAACGCTCGACGGGCTTCAAGATCAGCATCTTACTGATGAGATCTTTGGCCTCAACAGACACATCGTCCCAGTAGGGCGAGTCAAACTCGTACCGGCCAGCCTTAATGAGTCTGAACAAGACGCCCTGGTTATCGTGGTGGAACGGAGGATACCCACACAAAAGAATGTAGGTAATGACTCCGATACTCCAGATGTCCACTTCCTTGCCGTATGGCTTAGACATCAAGATCTCAGGCGCCACATATCCAGGCGTGCCACACGCTGTCGACAGACCGGCATCTCCGTTCTGAATCGCCTTTTTAGCGAATCCAAAGTCCGCGAGTTTAATGTCTGCGTCATCCTCGGCGCTGCTTAGTAGCAGGTTTTCGGGTTTTAAGTCTCGATGGACGACGTCTGCATCGTGGCAGAAGGCGATGGTTTGTAGAAGAACTTTGACCAGATCTCTGGCTTCTCTTTCGGAGTAAAAGTTCTTCTTGACGATCCGCTCAAACAGCTCGCCACCTGGCATGTACTCAGTGACTAGGAAAAAGTATTTTTCCTCTTGGAAAACGTCGTAGAGCTTGACAATGTGCGGGTGTTGCATCTCCCGCAATATCTTGACTTCGGCCACAAGCGCCTCGAGGTCATCCGCTGACAATTGCGCCCGCTTAATGCACTTGATAGCGAAGCGTTCGCCTGTGGTCTTATGCGTAGCTTCCCTTACGACGGAAAACGTGCCTGCTCCGAGCTCTTTGCCCAGCGTATACACGTCGGCGAAGCGTTTACCGCCTTCATGGGCTGCAATTTCTTCGAACTGAACAGCGGGAGGTGGGGGCGGCACGAGGAAGCGTACGACGCGCTCGGCGTTGCTGGTACTGACAAGAATCTCGCGGATCTTCTCGAAGCTCCAACAAGCTGCAGCGTCCGTAAAGTCGTGCGCGTTTACGCCCAACAAGAGCGAGTTGGAGCCGATCTCGCCATGTTTCTCGAGAGCTCCAGGCTCGGCTGAGCCGCCGACAGGGCGAAAGCCGTCCACGATGACGTGACCTTCGCCTGTCGGACTCTTACTGACGATCAGGCCCAAGGGGCCTGCAGGCACGACGACGTCCACACGCTTCCATTGTGAGCGATCGGGAGGCGTCATTGCGCTTAGAGAGTTACTTCTGGACTGAGCTCCAGGGATGCAAGAGCTAAAAATGGCAACGGTTTATGGAGAGTCACATGTCGCACTTAACTTAAGGCATAGTGAACTCAAGTCACTTGACTGAGGGTGGACTTCTTTTACTTGGTGTCGGAATATCCTGCAGACAATTCAGTGCCCATAGCGTTGAGCACTTGTCAGAGTTTCGTGTGTGTGTCAATGGCAAGAGCACACGATGGGGAGGAGACGGGCCACGGCGGAAGAAATATCCATCGCCCCAAGCGTCCAAGAGAGGACTTGAGCTGGAGCCCCGAGGCGAGTCAGGAGCTGTTGCGGCTGCGCTTCCAGACGCTGCGGACGTTGTTCGACGAAGCCGAGACAGTGGCGGATGTGCATGAGGCCTGGGGGGTCGTGGCCGCTAGACTGAATGACATGGAGGAGGTGGAGATGGAGGTGGACGCTGTTAAGTGCAGCGACCAGCTGACGAGATTGCGTCAGCAGTGGCAGGGGGACCGCACTGCACAGCTACACGCGATGATGTCCGAGTGCTTCAGAAAGGAGCCGATACAGTCAGGCAAGAGGTTTAGCAGTGAAACGGAGGAGACGGTTGTGCAGGAGACAAGTTATGAAGAATCCCCAAAGAGGAAAAAGAAGGCAACGCATCAAAATGAAGTGACGTCACCATCAGCTGATGCAACGCGAGCTGAAACTCCGCTGTCTCCTGAACCAGCTTTAGTACCAAATGTACCTCCAGCTCCGACTGTCTGTCAACACGAAGTCCCAGAGCTATTAGAGCAGCCAGATTCCGTCTCTCCGCAGCCGGCAGAGCAGGAAACGCCGTCCGTTCGTAAAGGTGAAGTCCAAGCTGTTGACGTGGAAGAGTTCCCCCAACAGGATAGGATCATGCGTGCTCTTGAGAAGCGGTCCGAACAACTTGGTAGATTGGCACAATCTCACAGACAACTTGCCGATGTATCGCATAAACTCTTGGAGGCTCTGCTCGATCAGCAGGGCAAAATGTAACACCAAAATACATGGAGAGGCAACAACAAGTTGCCCCTCTATATAAGACTTCAAACTCCGCTTGTATAAAGGATTGTAAAATCTTATAGTTACTGAAATAAGGTATTTATTTTACCAGTACAGTTTGAGAAAGACATTGATTGGCTCAATTCACTCAGTCACCGCGATCGCAGCACTCGTCGCCATGTTCAAGCGCTTCAGTGTCGACGAGCACGTGAGCACCAGCAGCAAGGTCAAGTCCTCGCAGCAGCGCAGCATCCGCTCCAAGGTGCTGGAGCAGTACCCGGACTTGGAGTCCTATGCCGAGATGTTTATGCCCAAGAAGGCGCCAATGGTTGTTGCCAAATGGTTAGTTATCTCATGTCTGGTATATGAAGTGAAATAAATCGTCTATTTAACAATAAATGTTATATCTGACATCAGCCACAACCACATCCAGATCGTGTTGCACGAAGGCGAGCCTCTCTTCTTTAACCAGCGTGATGGTCCCTTCATGCCCACGCTCAAGCTGCTGCACAAGATGCCGCACGTTATGAAGCAAGTGCGAGCCGACAAGGGTGCGATCCCCTTCGTGCTCTCGGGGGCCAACGTCATGTGCCCCGGTCTCACCTCGGCTGGTGGTGATATGCCTGAGCCACTGGAGGCTGGTACCCCTGTCGTATGTAAAACGTGTCTGATCTGTGGGGTTTAGCGGGTGATACTTAGGTTTTTGAACGTGCAGGCAATTATGGCGGAGGGTAAGGAACACGCCATGGCCATTGGTATCCTCTCCATGTCTACCGACGACATGTACGTGGTGTAATTATTTGATTATGTAGGAAGATTATTGAATTATTTGATGTTTCTGTCAGTCGCAACAAGAGCAAGGGAGTGGCTATCGAGATGGTACACTTCCTTGGTGACGACCTCTGGACGTGCTCGCACATCGACTAGACAGCAATGGATAGAGAGAATAGTTCAGGAGAATAGCCAATATTCACGGGGACTTCAAACTTTGCTAACAAGAGAATTTGGGAAAATTTCCGATTAGTCGCGTGAGTGCGTTCTATCCGAAATACGTATCTTTCTTCTATTATAAAAAGCTTTTCAAAGCAAGTCTTGAAAGTAGGCTCAGCGCAGGTTCCTGTGAGTCCGAGTTCTGCCTTTTGCTCTTTCGTTCCCGACGCTAATTCATTCACAAGACAGCAGAGGACGCGGATGAAAGACTCCTTTCATCAGCGGAAGCGACAATGCGATCTAATCGTCGATTGGACAAGGTGGGTTTATTGATCGAAGACGTTATCCTGGACGGGTTGGATTTTTTTTTAAATTGAATAACATTATCCATAAACGACGCCGCAATGTTTCACATTGCTAACTTTGACGAACTTGGCGTTATACATGTACTTGCTCTCTAAGCCCTTCGCGTGCCAAAAGCTAATGTAGACCACGATAAAGAAGAACTCGGCGAGATTAAACGGATTTGTACTAGCTCTACAGTAGAGTCAGGCAAGAATGCAACATGTAGTAGTATGATTAATGAATAACCTGATCTGAGCATTATGCACCAAACAATAGAGCGTGCCTTAGAAGGCGTGTTACTGCTCAGCCTCTGGTGATTAATTTGCCTGGATGATTTCAAGTCGGTCCCAGTGTTTGCAGCATGCCTTCAGGGGCAACACCAACGGGTCGAAGTAGTTTCCATCCCCCGGGGCGTCTTGTTTTTGTCTGTTGCTCGTGAGCTAGCGGCTCTGAAAATGTGAGAAACGAACTGGAATACTCGACCCCTTTGCAAATGAAAGCGAGTTGATTCGGGTCACTGAACGCCAACTCGAAGACAAGTCTCGAGTTCCATCCGATAATTGTCACTACACGTTGCACCGCGACAGTGCCAGTATACTCGTGATAAGTTCCAAGATGTGGCAAGCTGAGACTGATGAGAAGTCGTGGCTTGAAGAGTGTATCGTCGCCCAAGACGATATCTACCGCACAAGTTCCGGCAACCAGCAGGACGAGTATAATAGCTGGAAGACCGAGCTTGCGTAGCTGCAGCTGGTGGGTGACGCATGGAGTAAGAGCATCAAGCATCACGATCCAAAGAAACCAGAGCCACCAAGAAATAACTGTCAAACTCGATGAAAGTTGCCATTGCAGCATGTCCAGAAGGCACAGCGCTAACGCTGTCGCCTGAAGAGTTGAAAACAGCGCGTCGAACTTTCGGACGAGTAATTGTACCAGGTCTTTTTGAGCGAGAGTTGCTGTTATTAACACGAATAGTAACGAAGATACAAATGCTCCAATTGCAGGAGCTAACACAAACTCCGAGTGTTGCAGTAATAAGCCCCACGAAGTTGCTGTTAATATGATCCCTATAGTTGCAACCACGTAGAGTATAACACGCATACGTGGTTCGAGAAAATAGCCAAGATAGGCTTGTGGCAACAATATTCGTCTTGCGTCCACAATGAAAGATCCATGGGATGCTAGGCGTAGCCGCCGAACTGAGGAAGCCGAAGCTGCCTCCTTATCCACAAATTTAGTCAGTCGAAGTCGCTGTTTGTTCTTCGCCGGTGCCAGACGCATTCGAGCTCGCAACACCACGCAGGAAACGATATGCCGATTTCCTCCTGAATTGCTTGCTATTCTGCTTTGAACTCGTCGACGACGACGGCGAATTTTGGCGTAACTCTTCTTAAGCATGAAAATTATAAGCGTCGATGCCGAGAAAATAACAATCTGTCGCCATTGCAGCGTTACGGAGCCGATTGAAAAAGAGGGATACGTAGAATCAACAATCAGTCTGTAAGAACAGCAGAGCACCAGTGCCAGCATCGACGGTCCTGCCATCACAATGGATTTCACAGTAGTTTGATACGTTCTGTAGTTGGCGTCGATAGAAATGATATTTTGTGAGTTCAGCCAGAAGCTCAGACACACGACTGCACGGAAGTCGCCAAAGATGTTGGCAATGCCTACCCAGTTGATAACATTTAGCACCGAGACGAACCAGAACTCGTAGTTGCTCCTCAGTAAAGCAAGGATTTCAACCGAGAAGAAAAGAGCAAAACATAGCGGTGGGAACAGCGAGATACCACCAAGAAGCGGAATCCAAGGCCTCGTCACACTCACCGGCAGGAACAGAATCGAGCCAAACACGAGGATGTTCAAACGATTCAGTCGGACAAGGACTGGGGTCACTTTGTGCATAGCTCGCAATACACTTTCGTATCTTGACGTCGTCATTAATTTGGATAGCGCAGTTCCAGAGATATCGATAGCAGGAAGTGGCTGAGCCAGTTGCAATTCGTACATCCAGGCAGCATCATCGGTGTCGGTACTTTTGACTCTGCTGGCACACGTGGCGTCTGCTCTTGTGGGTCCGTGGAGCGATACGTCGAACGATGTCGTATTAAACCACGTGTGTTGATGCAAGTGGCTACTACTACCAGGCGAAGACTTCATCACCCAGTACAGTGTGGTGCTAGACACAGTCTTTATCCGAATAATAAATTATATTTAGAGAACCTAGGCTCCCTGGTCTTATCAATTATAAACTTCTGAAGTACCGTTATTGCTGTGGTGATTGTTGTTGTTGTATGTGAAACGGAACTGAGTGTATTCATGAAGGCCTTAGCTAGGCTTCATGCTTAGGTCCTAAGCCTAACGATGGCTGGCGAGGAATTTCCAGAAAACAGTACTTTGTACTGTTTTCTTCTAGACTGTACAAATAATAATACCGATCCAGTAGACAGTTATTGAACAAAAACAGCTAAGCTAATAATTTAATTTACAAACCACTTTTCCAGCAACATTTACTATTAATTACTATTAATAGTTTATTTCTTACTTATCTTCAGCTCCTTCGGTTTTTTATAGATCATACGAAGCTATTTTGTCTTTTACTTCGTTCTTCACATTAGAAATGACTTCTCCGGCCACAAGCTACGAGCCTCCACCGTTGTCCAAGTACGGTCAAGCACGCTTCGTGGTTGATGCATTGGATGTTCAGGCAGCGCGTGACTTGGGCCTGCTACGGGATGACGTTGTATTGGACTCGGAGAATTCTGTAGCAGAAAACTACGGCTTGGTGTACGACCGTCTTTGTATTTCTTACATTTTGTACTTGCAAACCAAAAATATTAGCTAAATATTATATTTAAACTTTGCTTCACAAGTCATGTTTTGGAAGCACTTCAGATCGTCCAGTATTGAAATTTCGAAATTGTGATCCGATAACATTTTCAGTTGTTGCCTTGGTGTCTATACTAAAAATTGTATGAAACAGTGTTTCTTGTTTGCGAGTTATAAGATCTCGATTGCAGCGTCCCAGACTTGGACATTAAATATTGAATTCTTTAAGTGTTTTTGTGTTTTGTGAATTTGTTTTGTGATTTAGAGACGTCTACAATACATTTTTTTGCAAACGACATTGCTTCTTATGCATTACACGTGCTCAACTATGATAGCACTAGATGCATGCCATTCTACAATTTCTGTTATGGCGCCTTTGAACAAGAGAGGAAAACACACACGCAACTTCCAACGCAATCTTGACGGCTCCTTTTACAGATTGAGAGTCCACCAAAATCTAGCTAATCGGCCTCCCCCTGAAGAAATCCCGGCGTTTCGACCGCAGAGTGGCAACGGTTTATTTCGAGGAAGGCAAGCACAAAGAGGGCGAGGTGGGGAGGCATTTGAGGTTGAGCGCTTTATGCAAAACGATGGTCCACACTCTTGAATTCTACTTAGTGCAGTGGGTAAACCATAGAGAGCTAACGTGGGAGTTAGCTAGAAACTTACCTTGGCAACTAAAAATGGATTTTGAGCGAGAAACAATCAACTTCGTGTGGCTATACTAAGCTACCCGCGGACGATGCCGTCGAGCGCCCCCTGCTACCCGACGAAGCTCCAGAACTGTTGTAAGAACGTAGGAAGATATTTAAGTTCGTATGCGAACTTAATACATACTGTTTCCAGTACTATGATTTCACTGTTTGGATTCGCAAGAAAATAGTACTTTGTACTGTTTTCTGGAAATTCCTCGATGGCTGGCGGATATTCATCGTTGCTTGCCAGCCTGCCAAGTCTTTGGCCACAGCTTACAGCGGACGATCTAATTGGGCGCGCGTCACAGATTTCCGATGCGATGCGGTGGGGATGCTCAAAAGAGAAATTTATAATAAAATTTATTTATCATAATGTACCTCTCACAATCAGCCATGACTTCCCACTTACTGTGATCCTTGCCCCGCGCCACGCTACGCCACCCTCACCAGGCATTCCGAAATAATCATTGTATTGCTGCTCCAATACAATAGTTTACACGTAATTATTAATATTTACAAATTTGATGACTTTTTTCAATTAGTTATTTTGTATTTACAACAAAGTACTTTATTTTTCGTAAAATCTAGTTGTTTTCTCCTTTTTTGCGTAATTACGGAGCTCGGTCTCCAGACAGAATCGAATGGCTGTTAGCGACGGTCACTCAAAACGCGAACCTGAGGCGCTCGTCTATCATTTTTGATCTCACCATGGCTCTCTCCAACACCTTCACGACCAAGCAAGTCTGCAGCTATCTTTTTACTGATCTATTAGACGCTCATGATGAGCCGACGGAGTATTTTCGTTGCCAATGCGGGACCACTCGCAAGCAGGACCCCAAAACAGGGTACTCAAATCTGTTTAACCACGCGCTGAAGCGCCACCCCGATTACCTGACGACGATGCAGTAAAGCGGCTTCAACTCGGGCACCCTTGTCACCTTCATCGACCAGAAGAGCCAGACGGTTTACAGCTGAATCGTCATGATAATCGAGTGCAATCTTCCGTTCGGTTTCTGTGAGAATGCCACCGTCACAAAGTACACGTGACGAAGCCAATGTGTGTCGAGACCCTTCTTAAGTACGCGGACTTAGTGACTAAGAAGGTCGAGGCTACGCTAAACGAGGTGCTCCCCACCAAGTTTGACATCATCATCGACGGCTGCACGTTTACGTCGGAGCATTTTGTCGCGGTATTTGCGGTATTCGTGCACGATGACCGAGCAGAAAAAGTTCTTTTGGCGATGGCTCCTATTGTCGACGACACTACCGCAGATCATACGGCGGACAGCCACGTCTCTTTCTTAGAAAGTGTCCTCCCGTTTTACAAGCGATACATTAACAGCATCGCTTATCTCGTTGGCGACAGCTGTTCCATCAACACCAGACTGGCTGACCTGCTGAGCGTCCCGTTTATTGGCTGTGCAAGCCATCGCTTGAACTTGGCGGTCACCTTGTTTCGTGCTGAGTGCGGGTACCAACTGGATCAAATTCAGCAACTTATGCGAAAGCTACGCGGACTCAACAAGGCGGCAAAACTACTGTAATGTTTTGGTACTTTTAGTAACTACCGGTTTTTGACGGTTTTTTTACTTTGTTTCTAAAAAAGTGTTTTTTTATTTGTTTTGTTTATATTAGGAAAAGTACCACTTTGCGCCCGCTTCTTCGCCAGACAACACGGTGGAGCTCCACGTACGAGATGCTTGAGCGATATTTCAAGCTACGTCCTGTTCTGGACGAGGATGACGATGAGATTACATCGTTGATGCCGTCGCGTCGCCACAAAAACCCGACTGAAATTCTTGTTGAGCGAGCTTCGCGACTTCCAGTCGGCCACCATGAAGCTTCAAGACGACAACGTAACGCTTCTCGATGTGCGCGATATCTTTGATACGCTCATTGAGAAGCATTCCGTTGTGGAAAAGTATCTTGCTGCCGACGCAAATATATTCAAGGACGTGGACTTCGAGCGAGCGTGCGTTCTAGCCCTGTCAGGCGCCGTGGACGAGCTGACGTACGGCCAGAAGGTGATGTTGCAGCCATTTGGGACGGTAGCCGCTATTACGACACCGGACAACACGCACGGACGCCCACAGGGCTTTGCCGACATAGTCTTGGCGACCAGGAAGAAGCGGCGCGGTGCAAAGATGGTATTTGGCGGTGTTAATCCCGCCGACGTCAAACACCGTGGAGCGTCTTTTTAGTGTGGCGAAGCATACTCGTTCCCACCATCGCCAGCGTGTGTTGCCTATTCAACTTGAAACCGTGTTCTTCCTGAAGATGAATCGGCGCTTCTGGGACGCAAACACTGTAGCAGCAATCGTAAACGCAAAGTAATGTGCAGTGCTGTACATCTAAGTAGTTAATTTTCCAATACACTACTATTGATGTTAATTACTTATTTCTTAAGTTGTAGCTTTTGTAGCAATAGCGTATTTCGGCATGAACCTTCAATATGATTGCAATTGTATTATCGGAATGCATGTCCTTCACGCTCTGGTCGTGCCGTAACGCCACCTCCGAGATCGTCTCGGAGTATTTCTGCTGTCGCTGCGGCATAGTTCGGGAGCAGACCCGCCGGAATGGCTACTCCAACCTTATGTAGCACTTTCGTCGGGAGCACCCGGACTACGGGGTAGTGATGCTGACCGCATCTACCACCGATACTGGCTCGTTGCTAGACTACGTCCGTCGGTCGGCACTCAACGTTTCTGTTGGACCGACTTGATTATTAAGAACCCCTCCTGCAAGAGTCCTGCAGCGTATGCCTTTAAATTGGTTTAAATATAATCTTTATATTTAGGCTGACTAATTTTCGTGCAGCTCACATATACAAATGTGGATCCGATTTGTCCATGGAAAGTGTCACTCGGATTGTGGAGCGTCACATCACTGCCGAGAAATCTCACCGATTTGGTATAATCCTGAGCGGTTGGAGCCACGCTTCGGCGCATCTCGTCGCCGTCTTCGCTGCTACGAAGTCAGCGGTTTCACAAATCCTCGCTTCTCTCCATGATACCCCTGCTCATCGAACAGGACGAGAACCTCTCGGCGCGCAAACACTGCGAATTCCTAGCTGAAATGCTGCTCCGTAACTTTGGTAAACAGCTGGTGTTTTGTTTGCTTCTTGTAGGGGACAGCTGCGCCGTCGGCCGGCTGCTAGCAACGCTCATGAGCGTTCCGCTTATTGGATATTCTAGCCATCGGCTGGGCAGGGTAGCTCAAGTGGATTAGGAGCAGCTTGGAGAAGACCTATCAAGCATTCAAGTTCTACTACGAGTCCTAAAGCAGGCTGCAAAGCTCAGGTAATTGCTCATTTATGGAGGTGGTTTTTGCTAAGTCTTGTGCTAACTTTGCAATTTATATTTTTAATTGGCTATCCTT